ACAAATAGACTATATTGGCAAAAGTATTGGGACACCCCTCCAAATCATTGAATTCAGGTGTTCCAATCACTTCCTTAGCCACAGGTGTATAAAATAAAGCACCTAGGCCTGCAGACGGCTTCTACAAGCATTTGCCAAAGAATGAGTTGCTTTCACAAGCTCAGTAAATTCAAGCATGGTACCGTGATAGGATGTCACTGTGCAATAAGTCAATTTGTGAAATTTCCTCGCTACTAAATATTCTGCGGTCAACTGTTAGTGGTATAACAAAGTGGAAACTCAGCCACGAAGTGGGAGGCCACGTAAAATCACAGAGCGGGGACAACGCATGCTGAGGCGCACAGTGTGCGAAAGTCACCAACTGTCTGCAGAGTCAATAGCTACAGACCTGCAAACTTCGTGTGGCCTTCAGATTAGCTCAAGAACAGTGTGTAGAGAACTTCATGGGAAGGGTTTCCATGGCTGAGCAGTTGCAGTTGGATGCAGTGGTGTAAAAAGCAGTAGAGACATGTTCTCTGGGGTGATGAATCATGTTTCTCTGTCTGGCAATCTGATGGATGAGTCTGGGTTTGGCAGTTGCCAGGAGAATGGTAATTGACTGACAGCTCGGTGGAAAGTTTGGTGGAAGGTGTGGGGTTGTTTTTCAGGGATTGGGATTGGGGTTGGGCTTGGGCCAGGGCCCTTAGTTCCAGTGAAAGGAACTCTTAATGCTGCAGCATTCGAAACCATTTTGGACAATTTCATGCTCCTAACTTTGTGGGAACAGTTTGGGGATGGCCCCTTCCTGTTCCAACATGACTGTGCACCAGTGCACAAAGCAAGGTCCATAAGGACATGGATGAGCGAGTCTGGTGTGGAGGAACTTGACTGGCCTACACAGAGCCCTGACCTCAACCCGATAGAACACCTTTGAGATGAATTTCAGCGGACACTGTGAGCCAGGCCTTCTCATCCAACATCAGTGCCTGACCTCACAAATGCTCTACTGGAAGAATGGTTAAAAATTCCCATAAACACACTCCTAAACCTTGTGCACAGCTTTCCCAGAAGAGTTGAAACTGTTATAGCTGCAAAGGGTGGGCCAGCTCCATATTAAAGCCTATGTACTAAGATTGGGATGTCAGTAAAGTTCATGTGTGTGTAAAGGTGTCCAAATACTTTTGACCATATCGTTTTAGATAGAGATAGATAAAAATTCATTCATAAAAAGTCATTTTACAATTAGTGCAATGTTTCATATTACATCTAAATGAGTGTCCTTAAAGACCACATGTTCAAACGTAATGCTACCATAATAACAGCTTAACTTTTTTCAGCAATCTAGAGCGGATACCAATAGCCAAATATGTGTGTGACTGTGTGGATTATGTTTATATTACATTGTGGGGACCAAATGTCCCCCACAATAACATAAAAACCTACAATTTTTACGTTGTGGGGACCA